CAACACGAAGCTGCATGCTGCTACTAGAGTATGCGTGATATAATGATAAAGCGTGGCCTCTACTTGTCAGGATACATGAACTAACAAAACAAAAGCGTATGGAGTAGTGACAGACAGCATGATGTCGTTGAAGAACCTCTTCATTCCCTAAAGGTTCGCATATTATATGAGTAATCACATCGGCACATCACCGGGGCCATTATTTTGACATTGCCGTCACCAGTGAAGTGAACTAGGCACTGTTTCATGGATTTGTGAAACAGCTGGATTATGAATAACTGATATTTGGCTGGTGTCAGCAATATGGGGCAACATGCTACACGTCTATAGCGAGTATGACTACGGTGGAATCATTTTCCTAGAGTTGACTTCCTTGACTTCTATGGACTTCTATTCTATATTGTGTACATACAAGAACCTGGCACTTGAAGAAACCAGCGGACTGTGCCTGGGCAATGTGGACGACTAACACACTCAAAAAACAGAATAGCCCTTGATAAAATAGAGAAAATCTCAAGACACTGCCTAAGCAGAAACAACTGTGGATAATATTATAATGTTTCGAATTATAATGTAGAACTTAAAGCAGATAACCAGAATAACGCTTAGTGCCTTGCAGTTATCAATATGTAAAAACTGTTATTAGTATGTAATATTCAACCTTGTTACTTTGGAGTCTTCCCCGCCGTGATGGTATATAATTCCGTTTGGTTCATGTCCGTGGTCGGAAGCTATCATAGCTGTGCACTCACTCACTCACTCTATGGGCTTGCCTTAAAAGCAAAACGCTTACGAGCACAAAGCACCGCGCACAATCGACGGGTTACGTTAGGACATTCGCCGTGAAATTCAGGCAGTTACGCCCAATACTCTGACAGCAGCATATGGGAACATGCAGTTCTGTGTTCAACTGTGTGTACAAGTGGGTAGATATTGCTTCCAGCAAGTCTTGTAACGCAGTTTCATTTCTGAAACATTAAAGCATGTCATGTAAACATTTTGTGTCATTTCCTCTTGTTATAAGATTTTTACCACACTTTTCCCGGGGCACCTTTCGAGTGAGGTCCCCTATATTACAAATATGAAAATTCCGAATGTGTTGAATAAACATAACATTACATATTGTAAAAGTAATTAAATTCAGTTTCGAAATCGGTACACAGATATAATGAGATAAAGTAAAGTGTTAGCTAAATTATGTTATTTTTTTTGACAGAATCCGTATTTCAACTAACTTGGTATTTTTATGAGAATATAACATGTATTGAAAAATAGATATTAACTTTAAATTAATGAAAAGGGCTGACGAGTTGATAAATAAATACTCGAAGACTACATATCTATAATATCTACAGGTAAATATACCTTTCCGTAAAATTTTCTAAAGGAAACTGGCAGAAAGGGAAATTTAGGGAAATATCCATGCAATAAACTCGTGTTATTATTGAGATATGAAACAGAAATAAAATATTCACGGGTTTCCTGGTTTAAGCAATTGGAAATTGGAGAAGTTTAGAAAGTAAAATGAAAAACATTATTGCTGTTGACGCTCTTTATGAACTTTCGTAAAGATTCTTAAATACATGTATTGAAGAGACTGAGATCAAATTATTCTGTGTGGTACGTATGTGCATGTCAGCTGGGAAAGAACTTTAATTTGGTGGTTCTAATCTCATAAGCTTTCTTTTGAGCTGATGGAATTCAGAATATGGAATGCCAACCCAGACCGAGGTCTTTTGGCAGAACTACGGAATATAGGATCATTTGCAGGCAATTCATGTAAAGTAGGATAAAGAATGTGGAAGAAGTTTGCAGAAAGGAGGTCGAAATTCGTATATAGGGTGCCCGAAGAAGGTGCCTACAGCTTTTATAGCCTTAAGTATTTGTCTTAAACACGTACTTCCAATTCCGAAATTTCTTTCTTAGAAACAAACATGCATAGAATTTCATAAATCCCGACTCACAACTGAAGTAGTGTATTGTAAGCATACCATTTATTTTCTGTAAGATCCTTGTAAAGTAAAAATTCCATTTGTTAGAATAATCTTATTACTTTGATGAGATTAAACTCAAACACTTAGCTTTTTATACATGGAATACATGCAGATATTTAAGAACTGGTATTGGAAAGCAGATTCCTTTGTCATGTCAACTAGCGAGATAATTTAAACTTTTATTTTCGTTAAAGGAATATCTATAAGGCAAATATTGTTTATTTTGAAAGGTAATTAAAGTAATTAAGGTATTGTTGCGGAAAAGTAATGTTTCAGCGAAAATGGAACAGCATTTATAATTAAATACATAATCGGCGTATAACAACATTCCTGTAAATATTATGCACAAAACATTCAACGATTTACTTAATTCAGTCATGGTTTTTACTGTCACTGCTATCAAAATTTTCTGTTTTTTGTATTTGGCCATTTTATTATACGTTCAGTTACAATCACGTTCCGCATTTTTAAAACCACAACGAGAACCATATTACTAACATTGTTTCCTAATTTCTGCCAAATCTCTTTAATGGATTGCAGAATTTAATTTAAACATCAGCTTAATTAATTAAACTACAACCTTATACAAAGAACACATGTGTGCGTATTTCTAATAGCGATAAGAGTAGAAATTTTTATCACAAAAATTCTAAAATCGTGCTATATTATTCTCAAATATATTGATTATGAAAAGATGTTCTCTATCCCAGTTCTAAATGAAGGTGTAAATGCTTCAAACGTCGTCCGTGCTTTCTTAATTATATGAATGACATTTAGATAGCAAAGGTGCAGTTCTTATATCTTTAAAGAATCTAGAATTGACACCTTTTTTGTTCGTGAAATTTTTTCGTTTCATTTCTTTGAATGTTTATAAAAGAAATCTAATTTGGATATCAAATGATTTATTTGTACTCCGTATTAAATTATATATATATATTTGCTGCCATTCATTTAAACTTCTTTCTTCGAATTACTCTAAATTATCCAAATCATCAAGGTAAGTTGAAATAGACATAAAAAATTACCAATTTTGAAATTAAATAACCCAGTCAATTTTTTTCATAAAAGAGCCAAACTTCTTATAATTCTATTTTTTAATAACAAGTATAAAATTTTCTCAAACATAAGTACAGGAATTTTAGAATAGTATAATTGCACATTAAAATTTAGATTTAATTATTTGCCCAAAACTGTATAAAAAAACAATGATTTCGTCATTTAAAAGCACTTTTCTAAAAGGATGTATATAACAATGACCAAAGATTGCACCCGGTATAAAAGGAGGGACTCTTAAACCGGGGCTAGGTGTGGGTATATATATATATATATATAAATATATATATATTAGTATTTTACTGTGTTTAATTTCACGTGTAGCATAATTTTTCACCCTTCAATTACATTGTTTTTTAAAAAATGTGTTGAACTTTTCTTGTGTTGTTTAAAAAATTTTATTTAAAAAATTTTTAATTTTTTTTTAAATTAAAAATTGTTTTTTAAAAAATGTGTTGAACAATCGGCGTCATCTTGCCATGGAGTGTCTGACATTTTAATAAAAATTCTAACACTTCTTAATTTCTTAGTTGTTAGTGCAAACAAATATATGAAAGGGCAAGCTTTATTTCTGAAAGTTAAAAATAACATTCTATTTTACTATCATGTGGGAACGAGTTGCTCAAATCAGAAACCAAATGTAAATTGGAAGTTTTTATAATTGTTAACGGACTATGGAGGAATCGAATATATAGTGTGTGTCAGGACTATGACTAATCTTTGGAAGTAAATGAACTGTTATAGCATAGCGAAGTATAGTGAAGACTGTATTAAATTTGAAGTTTTAATTTTTCATTTCTCGTAAAAGTCATAAGCCAGAACTTTTCTTGGAGACACAGCTCCTGGTAACGTTTGGCGAGCTTTCTACAATTTCTAATATCCTTAATTTTGCAGCATATTGCGCAAAAAAATTATTTAGACCAAATTGGTCTTACAGTATTGTACTAACTACCTTGCTTAAATATATATACTTTTGGGTATTGCCGGCCGATTTCAATAAAAAATGGAGGTGCACAACTGGACGTTAAAGAAAGTTATCTATATTCAAAAATTCAACACTGTGGTTAATCGCTTTTGAGTTATGCCAGATATATATGTACAGACGTCACGAAAAAATTCCTTTGAATATATTTTAAATCATTTCGACAATCCATTTTGCAAACAAAAGAGCCGTTTATTATGCAAGTACGTACAGACACCATGCAAAATATAGTCAAAATGGAGTTTTTTGTTGAAGTAATGTACCTGAAATTTTTCACGATTACAGTATTTCTCTTTACTTCGTACAAGAAAGTAATAAAAAGGAACAAATAACAGTATTACATGATTCACTTTGTTAGCGGATGGAAAGTAGACTCAAACGTTCGTTACTGCGTTTATTAGAAATTTACATAAGGCGCGAACATGCCGCCCACCTTGAAATACTATTTCAACATTTAGTGGTTAAAATTCAGTAAATTTAAAACACAATACAATATTAAAATTATGATATAATACTTAATTTATAATACATGAATTAAAACTCAAATTGGTAATGGACACAATTTTGTAATATTTCTTTTAACCATGCCATCTGAAGTCTTAATAGTCACAACCCTAACAACACTATCAAGACCAGGATGTAACTGAGTAATTCTACCTATTTTCCATTTAGTTGGAGGTAAGTTATCCTCCTTTATGAGACACAGATCATTAACTTGAAGATTTTTAGTTGGCAAAAGCCATTTTGGTCTTTGTTGTAATTGACACAGATATTCTTTGTGCCAACGCCAAAATTGTTGAACCATTTTTTGAATATGTTGCCATCTGGTGAGATGGGAAACTTCAATGTAATTTGGTTCAGGAATGCTTGTTAATGATCTACCAATAAGAAAATGACCAGGCGTTAATGCTGACAAGTCATTTGGATCATTAGACAAACTTGTTAAAGGTCGCGAATTAGACAACAAGCTTCTATTTGTGTAAGAGAAATGTTTCAAATTCTTCATATGTCAATCTCGCCTCACCAACTACTCGTTTTAAATGGTATTTTGTTGATTTTATGCCAGCTTCCCAGAGTCCACCCATATGTGGCGCACCTGGAACGTTTAGATGCCATTTAATGCCATTATCAACCAAATATCTGCTAACATTTTGGTTATAAGTTGCAGACCTAGCAAGCCTTTCAAATTCCATCAGTTTTGCGTTTGCTCCTCCAACAAAATTGGAACCACAATCGCTATATATATCACTGCTTTTGCCTCTGCGGGAAATGAACCTCTTAAGAGCTGCAATAAAAGCATCTGCTGAAAGATCAGTCACTAATTCTAGGTGAATAGCTCTTGTCGTAAAACAAACAAATAGAGCCATATATGCCTTGAATGACTTAGAGCCTCGACCCCTATTTGCTTTAATTTGAAAAGGACCTGCGTAATCCACTCCACAGCGCAAAAACGCAGGAGCAGGCGAAACGCGACTAGACGGCAAATCGCTCATCAATTGATTAGTGACAGATGCTCTAATTTTGCAACACTTTATACATTTCCTAACTAAATCTCTGATAACAAATCTACCATTTATGATCCAATATTGTTCTTGAATGCAAGATTGCATAAGTTGTGGACCTGCATGCAAAAGTCTTTCATGGTAATGTCTAACAATGAGATGAGTTAAAATGTGCTTCTTTGGAAGCAAAATTGGATGCCTAAAACCATATGCAAGGTTTGCATGTCGCAAGCGACCGCCCACCCTGAGAATACCTAAATTATCTAAAAATGGATTCAAAGATAAAATTTTGCTTGTACCAGATAATGATTGATTTCTGCCTAAAGTGTTAATTTCATTCTTAAATTCAACATATTGCATTAATTTAATTAACACATGCATACCTTTAGTTAATTCACTTGTTTTTAGAAATCCACTAACCTGATCTTCTGAATTTTTACAGTTATTTACAAATCTCAGACATAATGCTACAACACGTTTAAGTTTAGTGAGAGAGGAATATTTATAAAATAAATCATGAGCGTCTGTCAAGTGACTGGCAGCAGTTGTTGACTGAAAAACACATCTTTGCTCTGGCACAGAATCATTTAATAGTGGTGCAGACAATGCTTGCTGAAAAAGAAATAAATTATACAATAAATCTGGACCACGTAACCACAATGAAGTAACCAGTGCAGATGATGACACACCACGGGTTGCAAGATCAGCAGGATTAGCATTTCCACTCACATGATGCCACTGGACAGGAGAGGATAAAGTCTGGATTTTTGCTACTCTGTTGGCGACGAAGGTCTTCCATCGGCTTGCATGAGATCTTATCCAGGCTAATACAATAGTGGAATCAGTATGAAAATAAACTTGCGATATAGGAGTATTTAAAGCCCTACAGGTGAAATCCATTAATTTAGTCAACAGTAATGCTCCACAAAGTTCCAATCGGGGAAGTGATATGGTTTTTAGTGGTGCAACTCTTGTTTTGGCTATCACTAACTGAACATTAATTTGTCCAGTATCTAGCACAGAACGATAATAAATTGCAGCGGCGTAGGCCTTCTCTGAGGCGTCGTCACAAAACCCGTGCAGTTGAAACTGGTTATCTGATTCAACCAACAAGAATCGTGAAATTTTGATACTTTTAATGAATAACAAATCTTCTGTAAGTTGTTTCCACTCACATTCAATATCTGGAGGAACCTTTTCATCCCACTGAAACTGATGTTTCCACAATCTTTGCATAATCAATTTATACCGAACCGTGATCGGTGCCAACCATCCAAGAGGGTCAAAGGTCTTTGCGATTATTGAAAGTAATGTTCGTTTGGTTAAGACTTCAGGATATGATGAATTGACTTTGAATAAAAACATATCTGAAGCTGGATGCCACAGGATACCTAACGTTTTTACAGTATCATCCGGAACTGAATGGTGCGGAAGGTAAAAACTAGAATTAGCTGGAACATCAATTTCATTTTCTGGAATCAATTCCATATGACCAAGTTGTTGATAGTCCTCTCATAAATTTGTGATATTGACTGGAAAGAGATTTATTCTCAATAAATAAATTGAACGTTCAATGCTTTGTAAACGATGTACAGCAACATCCCTTGATGACCCAAGTTCATTTCCCGATCTACGAAATGGAAACTTAACAACAAATCTACCTGTTGAATCACGAGAAAAAATTCCGCTTGAAATGATTTTCACATTCAATTTCCTCTTCTGTGTAATGCTTTATCTCCGAAATTTCTTCCAATTTCCAAAATTTTTCAAGCTGGAGCTGAACATTGGTACAACTAGCATGATTAGATACAATTGTCTGTGATACACTTTTAGTCTTTCCGATAATGACCCAGCCGAATATTGATTCCAAGGCTGTTAACGAATGACCCGGAACAGTTAAACGTCCATGAAGCATTATCTCGCCAAATACATCTGCGCCCAAAAGAATATCTATTGGGCCAGGCTGGAAACAATTTGTATCTGCCAACCACAAATGTTTGAAAGATGTCAAAACAGATCTATCAACTTGATATTGAGGAAGGTCACACGTGATCTTGGGTATAATTAATGCATTAACTGAAATGCTTGCGTTTTTATAAAATGGAGATGTTACTTGTAATTGAACTGAACCTGAAACCTTTCCAATTTTTTGCGAGAGCTCAGGCCATTTACACTTATGTTTGCACTAGTGCGCTTTAGCTGCAGTAAATTTACACAGTGCTCTCGAATAAATGAGCCCTGGCTACCTGAATCAATTAGCATCCTGCATTTTTGTAAATCGCCATTAATATCTTTAACATAAACAACCGCAGTAGGCAATAAAAAACTGCTTGCGCAACAGGCACCGTGGCGTTATTGCTACTAATAGCAGAAGTTCCGTGTTCCATGGGTATATGACATTTTTCATCATTTGAATTTTTCGAACATAACACTGTATTATGTGGCTTTGAACAATATTTACACATTCCTGCACGACATTTAAAAATGGGATGCGTTTTACTATCTTTCAAACAATTAGCACATAATTTATTCCTTTTAATAATATCCCATTTTTCTTTGATAGGGAGTTCTAAAAAACTATCACATTTAAATAACTGAGAATGAGAATTACTCTTACAATGAACGCACACATTAGCCACAAGTTGGGACGAAAAAGCGTATCTGCTACCTGAACCGCGAGTTTTAATTTCAGAAGGCAAAATTGACTTCTCCCTCTGGCACTTCGCCAAAGAGGCAATAGCATTCGCTCTGTTTAAAACAAAACGCTTGAATTCAGCGAAAGCAGAAATTTTCTTGTTCGAATGCTCTATCGTCCACTCTTTTAGTGTTTCATGATCAAGTTTCCCTTTTAACAGAAAAATAATCATAGTATCCCAATGCTCTACCGGCTGTTTAAGGATTTTTAATGTATCAATACACTGTTGTGTTGTATCAATTAATCTCCGCAAACCTGAAGCTGATTCATGTTTTAGAACAGGTTGTGAAGTTAATTTATTTAATGCTGCGTTTATTATTTCTATTTCGTTTTCATAACGTTCAGTAAGCGCTTCCCATGCCTTTTCATAATTCGCGTTTGAAATTTGAACTGACTTGTAGTAAAACAGCAGCTTCACCTTTCACAGAAAGCTTAAGATATTGCAATTTTTGACTGTCACTTAATGTACTATTATTTCCAACACTGGCAAGAAATAAATCCCTGAAATGATATCCAATCAACATAATTAGAAGTAAACACTGGCAATTCCACGCGAGGAAGTTTCAAGCCGTTTGCATTAGCATTTATTATATCTTTGCCTGAATTTCTAAGTTTTCTTGATTCTTCCTTTAAAGTAATTTTTAATGCATCTAATTTGGAAAATAATTCATTCATTTCTATTTCATATTTACTAAACTCTGCGTCAGAACAAGTACCAAGAATGTTATCGTTTAAACAGTTCACTTCAACACTTAATGCACTAACATCATTTTCGTACACTTCAATGGCAGAAAAAGAATTTTCTTGATTTTGTAAACTATTTATTTGTGAAATTAAACGAGTCAACTTACCCTTAATGATACGCTTTTGCTTTAAAATTGACTGCATATTCCTGCCGCTGTTTTTACAATCCAGACAAAATATAAATCCGTTTTCCCTGCACGAAATGTCCTTCTATACCAGAACGTTAAAAAATTGTCTTGACACATCATCCAAAGAAATGCGCTGGCTCACGACGGACCATGTTAGCGGATGGAAAGTAGACTCAAACGTTCGTTACTGCGTTTATTAGACTGTGTGAAGAACAAGTTCGTACAATAGATATACAAGTAGTTCGGCGCTCGCAGGCGCCCTCTTGCAGGGAACAAAATCAAAATTTACATAAGGCGCGAACACACTTGTACTTAGGAATTCGAAACATTACTACGGTTGTAAAAGAGGGATACCCAAATTTTTTCTAGCATAGAAAATAATAATTTATATAAATAAAATGGTTTTATTCATCTACTCTTTACAGCTTTCCCTATAATATGAAGCATATAGTATAATAATAATGTAAATAATTGCATATAAATAACTCAAAGATCACACTTAGAATATAACTAAAAGTTTAAAATACGATTTATTAAACTAATGTTTTATTATTTTTCGTATTGTTATTTTAATTTTTCAATTATAAATAAGTTTGCAGAAACAAAATCAGAGATTCTAGTAGTAAAAAAGATTGATTTCAATGTTATATGATGGCTACGTTTGATATGATGATGCAATTGTTTTCTATATTTCATATGAAATTGTTTAACTTTATTATTAACCTTCCGGCACGCGCGCTTGGCAATTTTATACGAGCACGCGCGCGTCGTATTTTTTACGACATCCGTTATTTTACCGTTTTGAGCACAATAAACGACAGAAATGAGTGAATATTGATAGTAAATTTGATAAGAAATAAAATATTAACCTTATTATTGCAAAATACAAATGATATCACATTCAAATATAAGTAAATTATTTTTAAGTTCTTATGTTAGTGAGAGGGAAATGCAATGATGTATTTCATTATAGAGTAGTTTAAATTTATTACTTAATAATTATATTTTAAAATCGAAGGTAATTTTCATATTCATCAAAGGCAAGTATAGACAAATAAAAAAGGAAAACACTTTGGTAGGAAAAAAAGTAAATTTAGCATTACTTACTTCTGCAAGGAAATTTTCTTCTTACTGGTTACAAAAATGCACTAAACTAACTTAAATAATTTTATTTATTTCTAAAAATAGAAATAAACGAAAATAAGGAATGGAAATCGCTATTGTTCTCCCATCCAAAGGTTTCCTTGTCTTCCTTTTGTTCATCAGATAATTCTTGGAGAATGCTAGCAACATCAGCTGGTTGCACACATTTTTTTGTCATGAAAACTGCTATAAAATGTACAGAGACAAATGTATTCAAATTAAAATAATACACGGCAATTAATAACACAAAATTACAAAATATTTGAGAAAAAACATATTTTCCGAATTTTCACCTACGAACATGCGCGTGTCGTAACTTTTACGAAAAAGCTGCCACGTAGCACAAATGCCCAGTAAAAAAAAAAAGAAACTCAAATAACTTCCTGTTGGCACATTCCATGATATGGGGAAGGGTAGAACGAAGGAATAGAAATGACATTCAGAAGTCTCAGCTTCGATATAAGAAAAATGTGCATTAAAAACTGAATTTGTCGTAAATTTTGCGCATACGCACGTGCTGGAAGTTTAAATGATATTGTTCAAAAATATTCACCCTGCTTCCCCTTTTCGGTAATACATTTTTGACTTTATGATCACCTGATTCCACTAGGTAAACAAGAGGGAAAAGTTAATAATTTTTGTTTGGTAACTGCTTTTGTTCTGTGAGAGTTCTCTCAGAGGATCCTTAAATTGCAAATTTTAGCGTACTTATGAATTTGAAAAACACTTTCGTTACGCGTGTTTACTTTTGCTACGTTTTGCCACTTTTGCTAAAAAGTGTTTTTATTTTGATTGCTATCGAATGCAATTTAACTACGTTTCTGAGTGACATCTCTACGTAAGGCAGAATAAAGGACTCTTTTTGCCCAAACGGATTGTAAAATGGATTCAGAAGAGATGTTTTTCGTGACGTCTGCACGTAGGTATACGTATGTATGTATCTATCATAACTCAGAAACGAGTAACCTCAAAACGTTAAAATTATATATATATAGGATTGCTACAACGTGTACTTGTACACCCCTCCCTTTTTTGTTATAAACGGCCCACTAAAGTATATTTTATTTTATATCTTGATGTTGTTTATTTTATATTTATTTTTATATGTTAGTAAATTTTGCATTTTTTTTTTTTTTTGCTTTAAAAATGATTGAATTATGTTGTCCTTATGTGACGGTTAGGGATTTTATGCCTTTAGCTAATCTGCATGCAATAGTTATAGAATAATCAACAATTAAATGTTGTTTAATTGTGGCTAATCCTAACGGAGCAGCCATATTTGTTTACATTTGAAGCTTAGCAAAATAGTGAAATAAGTCAGTTTCATCACCTTCAATGGCTTTTTGCCGAGCGGGATGAAAAGTAAACTTTCCGTTTAATGCAGCGAAAAATCTGCTTTCCTGAAAGCTGGCTTGTTTTTGCGTAGAAACTCTAATTCTAATCTAAAAAATTGTCATTTTTAACTGTATTTGGTGTTTTAAGTTTTTCAATGTCTAATGATGATATTTTGAACTTTTATATAGTTCCGGAAAGTGAGATCTGAATTAATTGAAAGAGAAATATGCCTCTCATTAAATTCGAGGAAATAAGTTGAAATTAAATGCAGCTAAAATTGTGTATAATTTAATAGGCCGTACAAGGAAGTCGCGTGGTGTCTACATCAAATTTTTCTTTGTGGGAATAGATTAATTAAAAGGGAATTAAAAGGCTAATATTTCAAGAAAAGTACATGGGTCCATGGTATTTGGAAAGTAAAATAAAATAAAAAAAAAAAAAAA